ATTATTACCTACCTCTTTGGATCAAGCCCACAAATAATGTTATAAAATTTTGAAAATATTTGTGTGACATAGTTAATAAAACTTACTCTTGGCTCTCTCATAATGTTGGCACCAATGGTTCTCTTCTATTCTTTCATGACCCTTTGATCCATGGTAAAACTCACTTTTAAAAAAATAAAAATTTGATGACTAATCTTTTTAACTATAATTATTATGCTAACACAAATAATTTCATTATTAACGACAAATGGAGCTTTCCTTCCTCTAATTAACCCATGTACAATGATTGTGTTTTCCAAATTGCCCAAGTTGAGATACTCTCCTCTATCTATAGGCGCTTGGTTGGGATCAAAATGTTCTCTTATAAATCCTCTTATAACCCACAATATATTGCTGAGCCAAAAGTGTCTTGGGAAAATTTATTTGGTTTAAAGATTGTTCCATTAAATATCTTATGCCTCTTTGGGAAATTTTAATTGGTGGATTTAAAACCAAAGATGTACTTTTGAATTGGCACAAAAATGTGTGGAAGACTCATGTGCTTTAGAATAATTACATAGAATCTCGTAATCACTTATTCTTTGAATGTTTATACTCATTCAACAACCTTAAAAAGTACATACCTCAAAGCTCTGTCTTTCACTTGGACTGCAGCACCAATCAAGCACTTATGTATAAAGATGATATCTTATGTAAGATCATTAGAAAATTTTCTCTCATTTCTATGCATATTATTGCCCATACTCTATGGAATGAAAGCAATCGAAAGGAATTTTCAAGATAAAATTACTGAGGTTGATTGTTTAGTTTATAAAATCTATTTTGTTGTTCGAATGAGAAGTCGAATATGAAAATTTAAAAGAGACATCCCACATACCATTTTTTTTTTTTGCTTTATTTCTCTTGAGACATAATATATTTTTTTACTTTGCTATTAATCACTTTCATATAAGGGATTCTACTTTTTGCAAACTCTCTATTAAGCTTTTATGAAATTTTTTTCTACTTCTCGGTTGCTGGATTGTGAGGTGTTATAGAACTTCCTTGGTGAAGTCTTTGTTACTGTTGTTATTTAATGCTATGCTCCTAAAATATATATGACTCTTTCAAAGAGTTTGGTGGTAATGATTAATTATTTGCCCCCCCCC